ATTCCCCACCACATTTCTTTTTTCCTGAATCTTCTAGACCAGTTCTGTCCAATATAAGTTTCTGTGATGGTAGAAATGTTCTTTATTGGCACTATCCAAATCAGGGGTAGTTGAGGAATGAGCTTTAAGTTTTATTTAAGTTTAATTCTTTTTTAAAAAAAAATATATATATTTTTATTGCTTTCAGAGAGGAAGGGAGAGGGAGAGAGAAATAGAAACATCAATAATGAGAGAGAATCATCCATCAGCTACTTCCTGCACGCCCCCTACTGGGGATTGAGCCCTGACCTGACTGGGAATTGGGAATCAAGAATCGAACCGTGACTTGCAGGTTCATAGGTCTATGCTCCAATGAGTTATGCCCGCCAGGCTTAACTTTAATTCTTTCAAGCTGAAACGGAACTAGCAACATGTGCTTCCTGGCTATTGCATTTAACAGCACAGCCTGAGACCCCTGGCATCTCTCTTTCCTCTTCTATCCTCTCCTGTCCTCACTTCCTTCTCTCTTTAGCTTTGTCTCCTGGTCCATCGCATCAGCCACCCTCCTCTTCCCCCTTGTCCTTCTGTCCCACCTCCTGGAACAAACCCTCAACTCGAGATTAATTCAACTGCTCTGCTTTTTCTAAGTCTACACGGGAGGCTGCTGAGCCCTGCTGGGGGGAGGGGAGCCCTGCGACTTGGCTGGTTTGCATTCTTTCTCCTAGATAGTCACCCACTTCAATGGGACCTTTATCTGCCCAGCACACATTATCCTCTTTTCTGTAATGACCCAACCCAGCCTTCTCCCCCAGTCTGAAACCTCCAGTGCGCCCACCTGCTCCCTCACTCTCGGCAGGTGGTGCCACTTCCTATTCCGTTGTAACCCGAGCAGCTTTCAGACCACCTGACCACACATTTTACAAGGCTGGTTTTATCTGTCTTCAACCTGTCCCCTTAGCCGCCTTCGGATCAACATTTAGGCATGTTTAAACAGCCTTATCTTATAAACAACAGTAAAAAATCCCAATGCCCCCTCAATCCCGTGTCAGCTTCCTGCTATCACCATCTCTCTTTCCTACCACTTGTTTTCACACTTCTTGAGAGGTGCCTACACTCGCTATCTTCCACTTTCTCACCTCCCATTCACTCCAGAACCTGAGGCGGTCTGGCTTCTGTCCTTACCACTCCTCAGCCACGGCTGGTCAAGGTCACCAATGGCTTCCTTGTAGTTTAATCCAAAGGACTCCTTTCAGATCTTATCTCGACCTTGAAAGCATGTGATACTCCTCACTGCCCCTGCTTCCCTGAACTTGCCTGTGGGTTTCTAGGACACCCGACTCTCCTGTTTTCCTCCTTCTGTTTTGGCTACTTGGAAGTTTTCTTGAAACTGCCACATTCATTCTCCTCTTCTGGGGTGATCCTGGGCTTCAGGTGAGGCTGGGTTCCAAGAAGGGCAGCTCCCCCTCCAGACACATTCCTTGCAGAAACACCTGGGAATTTGCTTTCTCACCCAACAGCCATTGTTGTGTTTTGAACTCCAGCCTGAACTGTGGATCCTGCTGCTTAGCGCCTGACAGCCTTTGCGGGTGTGTATTTATAACCCCCACTTTGAGAAGCTCTCACAACACTTGGACATCTGTTTTTTTCATTTGTCCCCTCAAAAGGTAGAATGCTTTCGGAATGGACATTGACAAATTAGAGGGCATCGGGAGTCTGCAGAGCAGTCAGGAAACAATGTCCTTGCCGAAATCTTTGAAAGAACTGGGAACGTTTAGCCTAGAAGACATAAAACTGAAAGACGATAGAGGGTTGACTTCAAACATTTGAAGAGGCAGAATGGTGGAGTTGGAATTGGACCAACTGTACAAGTGACAGGGAGGCAGGTTTGAATGGACGTAGACAGGTTCTACTGTGTCCCAGAATGTTCCAGGCCTTCATGGTACAAGGTGAGGGTCCAGCTCGCCAGGAACTACTAAAGAAGATAGCTTAGGCCTCAGTGACCACAAGCAAAGTGGAAAGCTTTCCCCCCAAGGCCCCTCCGGAAGACCACTGGCCAAGGCTCAGAGGCCACTTGTAGCTGCAGTCCAGGGAGTACGAGCCAAACCTGCTGCCCCGCAAGGGCCACCAGCAGCTCTGCAGACAGAGCAGCCGAAGGAAGGCTTGGAGGGCCCTGGGTGACGGAGCGGGCTGGGTGGGGAGTGGGGCACTCTGATTTGCCTCTCTCAGCCCCTCCTTGTCGGTGTGTCTTTTCCTGTGTTCTGGTGCGCTGCCAACCGCTTACATTGTGGGCCACCATCACAGAAACTGCCCCCCGAAGCTCACCACTGTGACTGTGAGGGGGATGTTGTTGAGGGTGTTTGCTGTCATCTCACACTGGGTTCTATGTTTGAGGCCCCCCCCCCCCCCAGGAGAAATTCCTGTCTGATTTTAGTACCGAGAATAGTTAGTTGTAATTCTCTTGAGTAATAGGTCTGTTTTTATCTCTGGGACACTGGGAATTGTGTAACTGACATGATCTCCTTTTCACTTTGGCTGTTGGGGGTGGAGGGTGGGATGTGGGGGTGTGGGGAAGCTTAGGGACAGATTTGTGGCCCACCGACAGGAGGTGAACAGGGCATTCAGGGTGCATTTTAGCTCTATCCCCATCTCTACTTGGCCCTTCCTCTTGGTTTTTCTTTTTTCTTTTAGCCTTCCCTCTCATTTTACTACACAAAATCGAGACTATAGAAGCAAACATAAATAAAAATCATCTCTAACCTCACTATCCAGAGATAACCACAGTTAACAATGCTGTCTTTGTATGCATATGTAAAAAAAAATAAAAATGAGAGGATACTGTGCACAATGTGCTTTGGGCTTCAGTGTTTTGTAATTTGCTTTTTTTCATTTTATAATTTTTTAGATTAAATTTACTTATTAGTTTTAAATTTCCATAAAGATCTAGCAACTTAATAGTAAGAACTAACATTCCCACATCCACTTACTTACGATGTGCCTGGTTTTATGTATATTTACATATACACGTATGTGGAAGTATATCCATGTAGATTATGTAAGTACACTATGTATACATATTATAAGCCATGATATTCATATGTTAACTCATCTGATGCTCGCACCTCTATGAGGTAGATAATGTTGTACCCCTTTTGAAACTGAGAAAAATAAGTCACAGAAAGTTGCAAGACTTGCCAGCGGCACACTGGCTCCTCACCGCTATGCTGCCTCTCATGCCTTTGGAATGTCACAGTCCACAGTGGTGGAACATCTCCTTTATCTCCTTTCCGCTCACTTTCTGATTTATGCGATTTTGCCATGTTTGCAGTCCTCCTGTAAGTTACCTTAAGTCCTCTCAGCCATAAGGTCAGGCTGTAAGTAACCAGGGCACAGTGGTAGTGGCACAAGAAGGCAAAGCTAAAGTGTGACCCCGGAAAGAGGATGCGCCCAGGCTGTCCTGCCAAGGAACGGACGTCACTCCTCGGGCTGGGTGAAACCCCAGGCCTGGAAGAGCTGGCTTGGGGGGCTGTCTCTCCAGGAAAGCGGTTCTTCCGAGACTGAGCTGGGCCAGGCGAGCCCTGAAGCCCCTTCGTAGAGTCTCGGAGTTTATGAAAATGCCAAGAAGACAAAATGAGGCCCTTAATGGAGCTAATGAGCAAGTCAGCTGTTAGGCCAGAACCAGGACCCTGGGCTTTCAATCCAGATCTGTTACTAGTGACATAAAGCAACAGAAATGTTGTCCCAACCTCCCAGCCCGTGCATTCTTTCCCCACAGCTCTTGGTGGCTGCGGCAAGACGGTCAAAGGAGACCGTCACTGTCCTCAGTCCTTTCGTTAAGGCAGAGCATGAGGTAAGGAGAGGCTGGGCAGCCCGGAGAATGCCCCATGAGCCTACAACTGGGTGGGAATATCCGCTTGACAAATGTGAGGAGAGGAAGGATTTGATGTTTACCAGTTGGGAGAGCTGGGCAAGTCTCTTCACCTCCCGAGAGAGACCTCAGTGTCTTCATTTGCAAAAAGGAATTAATGCCTGCTTTGTAAAGCTGTTGTGGGCTCCCATGAGAGAGTATAGGGTATGGCACCCTTCAAGACCTGAGCCAGGAAGAAGTCCTATCAGCCTGCCTCAGGGGACCCGGGAGGGTTGGCTTCCCCCAGCCTGAGGCTCTGCAGACCTGGCTAGAGGGGCACTGGCCAGTGCCCAGGTGCTGTCCTGCTTCTTTCCCCTTCAGTCTACTGCCCACCTAGGTTCCCCGGGCATGAAAAAAACCACGTGCCTGCCAGATAGGCCCAACCTCACAGTGACAACTGTGTGTCCGTGGGAGGAAGTGTGTGTGTGTGGGTGTGTGTTGGGGGTGTGTGTGTGTGTGGGGGGGGACTGGTGCACAGGAGCAGCCCCTCCCGCCAGACCCCATGGGCTTCGGGCAGGGGGAGTGAGCAGGCAGAGGTTACATCCTCCTCTTCCTCATGACCCCAGGCTGTTTGCCGACAGGGGCGCGGAGCTGTACGCGGTGCCACCATGGCCACAGGGCTGGGTTAGAGGCAGGCCCGACCTCGGCGCAGCAAAGAAAACAAACACAGATGTGTTGGGATGGGACCTGGAGGGAGAAGCCCGTCCCCTCCCCCACCCCCGCCTGCGCGCTCCCGGGGGAGAGGGGCTGGCGGAAACCTGCGAGGCTCCCGGGGCAGCGCGGGCCGGAGCGGGGCTGACAGTCCCCGTCCCCCGCCGGCCCCTCCTCCCTCCGCGGGGTGCGCGCGGGCCCGGCCTCCTCTCCGGGGTTTCCCCGGGCGCTCTCCTAGCTTTCTCTTTGTCTCTGCTTTTCTTTCTCGGGCTCCCGGGTTCCCACCCGCGGGCGCCCTCGCTCTGTCCGCGTCCCAGGCCGCTTCCCTTGAACTTTCTTCTTTCCCGGGGTGAAAACTTGGCTCCCGAGCGGGCGGCTGCTCGCCGACGTTATTGGCCGGCGCCCCGCCCGGCGGCCCCGCCCCCCGCCCCCGCGCTCCCCTCCGCCCCCCACTCCCGGCGCGAGTGGCGGCCGCCGCGGAGCCCTCGGAGGCGTGCGTGCGTGTGTGCGAGTCCGCGCCAGCCAGCGTGAGTGTGTGCGCCCCGGGCGCGGGCTGGGCGGCACTCCGACCGCGGCGGGAGACCGGCGGCCGCGTCGTCACTCGGGCGAGAGAGGCGGCGGCGGCAGCAGCGGCCGGGCCGGGGCCGGGGCTGGGTAGCGGCGGCCGCGCCGGGCATGGAGCTGGCAAGCCCGCGCTGAGGCAGGACGCGTCTGCTAGCGGCGAGGGAGAGCCTCCCGCTGTCCGGCGTGCGGGCTCCCCGGCCAGTGCCCCGCAAACTTTTCTTTCTCGTTTGCCCTTTCCAGAGGTAAAGTCCCGAATGCGGAGTCTCCGGCGGGGACGCGATCTGGGGCAGCGGAGCGGGACCCCAGGCTGCGGGAGGAAGGGGCGCGGGTCGTGAGGGGTTGGGGCCCCCCGCGCTCTCCTGCGCCCGAGACTTGGGGTGCAAGGCGGGCTGGCTGCGAGCGGGCAGGCGGGCGCGGGCATGCCCCTCGGGCGGCGTGGAGGCGGTGGCTGGGAAGCCTAGCTTTCGCCCGCGGCCCCGCTTCGCCGCCGGGCCGGGGAGAAGCGCGGGCGATGCTGGCTTGGGGGCCCCGGACTCGCCTTCCTCTGCGAGGCCGGCAGTCGGCCGCGGGGCTGGTGCTGGGGAAGCCGGGCGTTCGCCCGCACCTCGGCTCTTGGCCTCGCGGTGGGTAGAGGGCGCGGGCGGGCTGGCTGAGCGCAGCTCCCCTCTCTCCGCAGGCGCCTTCTGCGGCGGGCGGACCCACTCCTCGGCGCGGCGGGGCCGGGGCAAGCTGGACGCAGCATGATGCGCGCCGTGTGGGAGGCGCTGGCGGCGCTGGCGACCGTGGCGTGCCTGGTGGGCGCGGTGCGCGGCGGGCCCGGGCTCAGCATGTTCGCGGGCCAGGCGGCGCAGCCCGACCCCTGCTCGGACGAGAACGGCCACCCCCGCCGCTGCATCCCTGACTTTGTCAACGCGGCCTTCGGCAAGGACGTGCGCGTGTCCAGCACCTGCGGCCGGCCCCCGGCGCGCTACTGCGTGGTGAGCGAGCGCGGCGAAGAGCGGCTGCGCTCCTGCCACCTCTGCAACGCGTCGGATCCCAAGAAGGCGCACCCGCCCGCCTTCCTCACCGACCTCAACAACCCGCACAACCTGACGTGCTGGCAGTCCGAGAACTACCTGCAGTTCCCGCACAACGTCACGCTCACGCTGTCGCTGGGCAAGAAGTTCGAGGTGACTTACGTGAGCCTCCAGTTCTGCTCGCCACGGCCCGAGTCCATGGCCATCTACAAGTCCATGGACTACGGGCGCACGTGGGTGCCCTTCCAGTACTACTCCACGCAGTGCCGCAAGATGTACAACCGGCCGCACCGCGCGCCCATCACCAAGCAGAACGAGCAGGAGGCCGTCTGCACGGACTCGCACACGGACATGCGCCCGCTCTCCGGCGGCCTCATCGCCTTCAGCACGCTGGACGGGCGGCCCTCGGCGCACGACTTCGACAACTCGCCGGTGCTGCAGGACTGGGTCACGGCCACCGACATCCGAGTGGCTTTCAGCCGCCTGCACACGTTCGGCGACGAGAACGAGGACGACTCGGAGCTGGCGCGGGACTCCTACTTCTATGCAGTGTCCGACCTACAGGTGGGCGGCCGCTGCAAGTGCAACGGACACGCGGCCCGCTGCGTGCGCGACCGCGACGACAGCCTGGTGTGCGATTGCAGGCACAACACGGCGGGTCCCGAGTGCGACCGCTGCAAGCCCTTCCACTACGATCGGCCCTGGCAACGCGCCACCGCCCGCGAGGCCAACGAGTGCGTGGGTGAGTGGAGCGCCGCGGAGGGTGCGGGCGGCGGGCGGGGAAGCGGGCGGCTGTTCTGGGGGCCTCGCACCCTGGAGCGCGGGCCGCGGCTGCCCCGAGGATCATCTGCTGTGGTCGTGCCGCGGGAACGGTGGGAGGTGCGTTCCGGGAGGTAGTGGACCCGGGAGGGCGGACCTCAGGACCACGCGCTCCCATGGCGCTGGCCGTGGACTCTCGGGTTGGCGACCAGTGCACTCTGCAAAGCCAAGAAGCACGAGAAATGTTGCGGGGGGAGAGAGGGTTTTGCAGAAAATATGCCGACTGGTCCCTCTAACCTGGGATCCACATGCAAACATACGTTGCTTTAAGCTCGGCTCGGCAGGATCCCCCTTAGGGCTGAAACTGGGCGCAGTGGGGGATCCCGGCCGGGTTCCCTGGGTGTTCCAGCCCCACAACCATACACCCCTTGGGAGATGGCAAAGGGATTTGCAGTTTGGGGCCAGTTCAGTACCCGACGATCATTTCCTGCGCCTTTTTATAGTTCAATTTTTTTTTTCCTTTTGGACAGCGTGTTTGTGTTAGCAAAATAATGATGTGGTTTAAATTAATTACTATCCACAGATTACAAAGGAGAGTTCATTAATTATTTTAAACCAATTCAATTCTGGGTTCAAAAAATGAACATAACAGATTTGTTAGTGTCAGGATTGGGTGAAATTAAATAGTTTTGAATTAACTAAGGATCCAGATTCGCACTTTTTAGTGGGGTTTCTGTTCCTGAAAGAGAAAACTGACAAAACCGGCACTGGCGAATAGATTTTGTTAGAAATGAGACTAAGGGGGTACATTCTATTTCTGAATTGTGCAACTTTGCTGCTATAGAAACTCAGGGTCCAGTTTCTGGGGGCGGTAGGAGGAGGGGGCAGGTAGTAAGACATTATTCTTCCAGTATGAGATGTAAATTTCATTTCATTTTAAGGAAAATTACTTAGTTTGTAAAGTGCCATTTGGTGTGCATCTTTTGTGAACAGTATAGATTTTTCCTTCGCACCCCCTCCCCCGCCCCCATCCCCAAACAGCCAGTGTGAGTCTCTTCAGTTGCTTCGCCCTCTGAAGCACATTGCAGTTTGCCGGTCCCCACGCACACACGTTTTGAGGTCTGGTTCTGATTAATTGTGTCATGTTGTTGTCGAATAGTTTGTGCCTCATGACTGCGGATGCAGCCTTTGGAGCAATCCAGTGGAAAACATGTCTCGGAGCGCTGGGTGGGCACGGAGGCCCAGGAAGGCCTCCTGGTCTGCAAGGGCTGGGCCTCCTGTTGCATGGTGGGCCCTCCATTTTTGCACTCACTGTGTCGGATTTTGCAGACCTAATTGTTCTCCCCTCTCCTTTAAGAGATGGAACCGGTTGCCGGTTTGAAGAGTCTTTTCAGGATTCTGCAGTGAGATACTTATACCCGGGCATTCGTGGTCTTTGAGAATGAAATTCCTTTGATCTGCTCAAGTTCTTCAGAAATATTGGTTTTTCCCATCTCTTCCCCCCTCTTCCCCTTTCCTCTTTTCTTTTCTTCCTTTTGTGCGGAAAAGCCCTGTATTGACATTCCAAGGGCCTCCCAGGGTTTTGCTATCAGTTTTAGTTTGTATGTGCATATGAAAGATACCTTTGAATTGTCACCAGCGGGGTCTAATTGGACAAATGCAAGTGAATGCATTGAGGCAAATAAGCTGGATGTTGTGGTAACATTTGACTGGTTTGAAGATTTGTTCTCAGTGTAGATTTGTTCAGATTCATCAGCCACCCCTCCCTCTCCGTGTCACTTGGGATGTGGAGACATAACCCACATTTGCTGTAACAATAGTCCTGCACTTGAAATAACCTCTGTAGTTTAGGATTTTGTCTTTTGACTACAGCACTAACTATGCACAAATTGGATTGACAGTTTTTTTAAGCCAAATGGAGCAATCAACATATTAACTAATGTAATTAGTAAGTCTTTTTGCTCAAAAAGTTTAATTAGGCCTAATAAGCACATGATCTACATGACAAATAATCAGCTAACAGTATTTTCTGGGGTTTTTTTTTTAGTTTTTTTTTACTGAAGTTATTTTAATTCTCAGTAGTTAACGTATCTTTAAATTTTGCCAGTTGTTCAGTTACTGTATAAAAGCAAAGCCTATTCAACTATCTTAAAGTTACTTATGGTTTCCTTTTTGAATAGACATTCTGATATCTTGTAGATACAGACAGGAAAGTCAGGTTGAAGTTCCCATAAAGTCTTAATTGAAGTCTTAGTGATTTTTCCATCCTTCTGTGAGAGAGAAAGCCAGCAAAGACAATTTAAAAGTGATTTACAATTAAAGGTCGAGCTTTTTATGAAAAGGCCCCGTAGCGGAGAGATGTGAATGAATTAGTATTTGACAGGTGATCTGAGACACTACAGGGCACTGTGCTAGGAAAAAGCCTTAATAAATCCTTCGAACACTAACTTTTGTACTATCAGCGGCCCAGATCCTTTTTTTTCTCTCTCTCTCCAACATAATCCCATCTTGTGAATTTCACACTGTTGACCTAAATTCAAGCTCCCAGATTATTTACAACTAGGGCAAATTGAAGAAGTATATCTACTTTTCATTCCCCAAATCAGTCTTGATAAACACGAAGCATTGTCCCCGTGCTATTCTGTCTTTGCCACATCGTTTCAAGGTTGAGTTCTCTATGGAATAAATGTGAGCTTTGGTGAAACTCAATTTTATTTTGAATGCCATTTTGGGTTACTTCCGGAAAAACACACACCCTCGAAACAATATGAAAGACAGGACTACGTATAATGTTACAGCCTCGACAGCTCTCAGTGGAATAACGAAAGACTTTCTTCCGCCCATATGTATCAGCAGTGTCCACATGCTTTTACACACATGTGCATTTACATTCATGGTGTAAAGAAGCATCCATGCATGTTGGGGTGGGGGGCGGTGTACATTCAAGGGAAAATTCAAGGGAACAGTTTTAAACCACCTGGGTTGCTAGGCCCTTTTTTCCCCCACTCCTATTTTTTTTTTTTTTTTTTCAAAAGAGCATCTGAAGACCATATTGTGTTTCATAAATTATTGACATCAGTTTTAATCAGTGTCCCCCTGACGTCGGAGCTGTGTTAGTATTTAGTGCCTGACTAAGCATGCTGTTTAATCTTGCTGTGGGGATGTCAGCAGGAGCCCCTGCCTGGCTTGTGACAGGGTGAGCTTGTGAAAACTCGTTTTTCGACTCACTCTCTGGTTTTGCATTGCCCAGCTGAAACCCAAAACCCACACAAAAGACACCTTTGCAAGATGAGCACCCTGCTGGGCTGGCCTCCGCTGGTCATGGGTACCTGCAACATAATGCTCATAGTTGTTTAAACATGGTTTTGGGAGGGAGTTTTTCATGCCGTAAATGGCTCCAGTGTTTGGGCCTACCATCATCCTCGCACGAGAGGGAGGGCTGTCTTGGTGGCGTTGCCGTGAGAAATCCAATGCCCCCGCTAAAGACGCTTGCAAAATCAGAAGGCTAACGTTATTTGCTGCCTGGTCCAGAGTCTGGCACATAGCTGTAGGTCAGCGAATGGTTTCTTAGTCAGAGTAGTTATTATAATTACTGTCATTGTGATGATGAACTCTTGAGGGCTTATTTTTTTTTGCCCGGCAATCATTAATTGAATCATTTTATCATTGTGACTATGCTAATAAAAGGCACTATTAATTGTTTTCATTTCACAGATGAGGAAACCACAACCAAGAGACATTAAACGTTTTACCCAAAGACTACCAGCTGTTAGTAGTACATATACCCAGGAGATGGTGGAGGTGAAACTCCAGTCTGATATTTATGCTTTTAAAGCATCCTTGGTGCTGCCTCCCCATAGAATGGGTGATTGGATGGTGGGGCAATGGCAGGCACACATCCACATACAGGAGAAAAGTTGGCACAACTTTTCTTGCTAGAACTGCACGCGGTTCCCGTGTTATATTATGTAATGTTATCATTATATTTATGGTGTTTATTCATGCTTAATAGGAAATTATATATGAGAAGTTGTCCTTTATTTTAGCCATCAGGCCGAGCGGGCGCTGGAGTGAGGAATGTGAGTGAAGAGGGTTTAAATACTTCCTTGTGGGTGTTCAGCGTCCACAGGTGTTGCTGATGGCCACGTCTGTCTTGATTCCAGGGCCTGTGATCTCTCTCAAAGATGCTGGAACAGAGCTCATAATCAGAAAATCCTCTTTAATAAGGCCTTCTCCTTTCTCCCTGATGTTCGGATTCCCTTTGCTTCTCCGGGACATATTGAGAAAAAAAAAAAAAAAAAATCGAGGCAGAGACTAAGAAGTGCTGCTAAGAGAGGAGTGCAGTGGTATATCCTGGTCCCCAGCGCGGTGCTGGTCGGTGCAGCGCCTGTGTGTCAGCAGCACAGGCCTGTCATCGATCTCTGTGGGCCGCTAGAGCTGGAGTGAGGGTCTTGCTGGGTCCTCAGTTCCTCGTGGGCAGGGAGACAGCTTTGGGACAGGGTATCCTCTTGGGGCGGGTCTCTGCATTTCCAGGCTCTGCCAAGCTCTCCTTTGGCCCTGCCCAGACTTCTCTCTGACCTCCTCCTCCTGTAGAAAAATGAGATCCTCGGAAAAGTATTTGAGACTTTATGTCCAGAGAAAATATTGGAAAGGCAGTGGGTTGAAATTCAAATGTTCCCTGGAAGGAATCCCCTCATTTTCTGCTCACAGCTGGTATCGATATTTCCTTCTTGAGATGAGTTGTGCTTTTCATTAAGTCGATTTTTTGTCTTGGGATTAAACCAACATTGTATTCTTAATAGACTTTTATGTTTACACTTCAAAAGTCCACTGGGTTGGTTGGTATTCGTGTTATCTTGATGGCTTCTATAGTTTCTGCTGTGCACACTGGCCTCACCGAAATAAATGGCTCTCCGGGGAACTGGATTAGAAAACAGCCTTATCTGTCCGCGCACGAGTGTGGCTAGTTCGTGAGGCAGGGTT